GGAGTATACAAAAAGGGGGTGGATATAAGTTTACTTTGATGTAATGATGAAAAAAAATCTAATCAAGTGGGTTAAATGGATCCAAGTAAGTGGATTAGTCTGATCTAAGAAAATGTACTAAGAAACGAGGAGGCAGACAAGGGTAAATTACATTACAGGAAAAGACACAAAAACCTGTTGCAGCAGAGGGAAAGAATGGAGGGGGATGAGCAATGTCTGAACCTTGCTTTCATCAGATTTAGCTCAAGAAGGGAATAACATAATCAATTAGGTATACAATATAACTTGCCCTCTAGACAGTAGGAGGGAAAAGGGGAAAGAAAAGGGAGGGGGGATGGAAGGGAAGGAAGAAGCAGCAAGAGTAAAGGGGAAGAAAAGTGAAAGGGATAATATAAGGGAGGTGGGACTGAAGGAGGCAGTGGTCAAAAGCAAAACACTAGAGAGGGGGGGAACGGAGAAAGAAAAGCATAAACTGGAGGAAAAAGGTTGAAGAAAAAGACACAGATAGTAATCATAACTGTGAATGTGAATGGGATGAACTCTCTCATAAAACTGAAGTGGATGCCAGAATGGAATAAAAACCATAATCTTACAATATGTTGTTTACAGGAAACACATTTGAAAAAGAGTGACACATGCAGGGTAAAGGTAAAAGGCTGGAGCAAAGTATACTATGCTTCAGCTGAAGTGAAAAAAGCAGGGGTAGCAATCCTGATCTCAGACAAAACAAAAGCAAAAATAGATCTTATCAAAAGAGATAAGGAAGGAAACTACATCCTGGTAAAAGGCACCATAGACAATGAAGTAATATCATTACTAAACACATATGCACCAAATGGTATAGCATTCAAATTCTTAGAGGAGAAGTTCAGGGATTCATATGGAGAAGTAGACAGTAAAACTATACTAGTGGGGGACTTCAACATCCCCTCTCCAAACTAGATAAATCTAACCACAAAATTAACAAGAAGGAAGTTAAGGAGGTAAAGAGAACATTAGAAAAGTTAGGTATGAAAGACCTCTGGAGAAAACTGAATGGGGATAGAAAAGAATATACTTTTTTCTCAGCAGTACATGGCACATACACAAAAATTGACCATATACTAGGGCATAAATGTTCACAATCCAATGCAGAAAGGCAGAAATATTGAATGCATCCTTTTCAGATCATGATGCAATAAAAATTATATGTTATGAAGGGCCATGAAAAGGTGGACTAAAAATAATTGGAAATTAAATAATCTAATATTAAAAAATGATTGGGTCAAACAACAAGTCATAGAAACAATCAATAATTTCATTCAAGAGAATGATAATAATGAAACAACATACCAAAACTTATGGGATGCAGAAAAGCAGTTCTTAGGGGAAGTTTTTTTATCTATAAATGCTTACATAAATAAAATGAAAAAGAGGAGATCAATGAATTGGGCATACAAATAAAAAAACTAGAAAAAGAACAAATTGAAAATCCTCAATTAAATACCAAATTAGAAATATTGAAAACCAAAGGAAAAATTAATAAAATTGAAATTAGGAAAACTATTGAACTAATAAATAAAACTAAGAGCTGGTTTTATAAAAAAACCAATAAATTGATAAACCTTTGGTTAATCTAATAAAAAAAAGAAAGAAGAAAACCACATTACGAGAATCAAGAATGAAAAGGGTGAAGCTACCACCAAGAAAGAGGAAATTAAAGCAATAATTAGGAACTATTTTGCCCAACTGTATGCCAACAAATTTGACAATCTTAGTGTAATGAATACATATTTACAGAAATATAAATTGTCCAGATTAACAGAAGAGGAAATAAAACACTTAAATAACCCCATCTCAGAAAAAGAACTGAATAAGCCATTAATCAACTCCCCAGGAAAAAAATCTCCAAGACCAGATGTATTTACATACAAATTCTATCAAACATTTAAAGAACAACTAACTCCAATACTATATAGATTATTTGGGAAAATAGGTGAGGAAGGAGTCTTACCAAATTCTTTTTATGATACAAATATGGTGCTGATACCTGATCCAGGGAAGAGTAAAAACAGGGAAATAAAATTATAGACCCATGTCTCTAACAAATTTAAAAAAAATATATATTAGCAAATAGATTACAGCAACTTATCACAAGAATAACACACTATGAACAGGTAGGATTTATACCAGGAATGCAGGACGGGTTCAATATTAGGAAAACTATCACCATAATTGAGCATATCAACACCAAAACTAACAGAAACCACATGATCATCTCAATAGATGCAGAGAAAGCTTTTGACAAAATACAACACCCACTCCTATTAAAAACACTAGAAAGCATAGGTGTCAATGGAATCTTCCTTAAAATAATAAATAGCATCTATCTAAAACCTTCAGTGAGCGTCATATGTAATGGCGACAAGCTAGCAGCATTTCCAATAAGATCAGGGGTGAAACAAGGATGTCCATTATCACCGTTGTAATTCAATAACATACTGGAAACATTAGATTTAGTGGTAAGAGAAGAAAAAGAAATTGAATGTATTATAATAGGCAAAGAAGAAACAAAGCTATCACTCTTTGTACTTGACATGATGATATACTTAGAGAATCCTAGAGAATCAAGCACAAAACTACTTGAAATAATAAACAACTTTAGCAAAGTTGCAGGCTATAAAATAAACCCACATAAATCATCAGCATTTCCACATACTACCAACAAAACCCAACAGCAAGAGGGAGAAAGAGAAATTCCATTTAAACTTACTGTAGACATTATAAAATATTTAGCAGTATACCTCTCAAAACAAACCCAGGAACTCTATGAATACAATTACAAAGCACTTTTCACACAAATAAAGTCAAATCTAAATAATTGTAAAAACATCAATTGCTCATGGGTAGGCCGAGCTAATATAATAAAAATGACAATTCCACCTAAGCTAATTTACTTATTCAGTGCCATACCAATCAAACTATCAAAAAATTGTTTTACAGAGATAGAAATAATAATAATAAGATTAATTTGGAAGAACAAAAGGTCCAGAATATCAAGGGAACTAATGAAAAGAAATGCAGGGGAAGGTGGCCTAGCAATTCCAGATCTTAAATTGTATTATAAATCATCAAAACTGCTTGATACATGCTAAGAAATAGAGTGGTGAATAAGTGGAATAGGTTAAATATGCAAGACACAGCAGTCAATGATGACAGTAATCTATTATTTGATAAACCCAAAGACCCCAGCTTCTGGAATAAAAACCCACTCTTGAAAAAAAAACTGCTGGGAAAACTGGAAAAGAGTATGTCAGAAAATAGGCATAGACTAAAATCTCACACCATATACCAAAATAAAGTCAAAATTGGTTCATGATTTAGATATAAAGGCTGATACTATAAGCAAACTGGGAGAGCAAGGAATAGTTTATCTGTCAGATCTATGGAGAACAGAAGAATTCATGACTAAACAAGAAATAGAGAACATTACAAAAAGCAAAATGATAATTTTAATTACATTAAATTGAAAAGCTTTTGCACAAACAAAGCCAATGCAACTAAGATTAGAAGGAAGATAGAAAATTGGGAAAGAATTTTTACAACCAGTCTCTCTGATGAGTCTCATTTCTAAAATATATAGAAAATTATGTCAAATTTATAAGAATACAAGTCATTCTTCAATTGATAAATGGTCAAAGGATATGAACAGACAGTTCTAAGATGAAGAAATTAAAGTCATCTATAGTCATATGAAAAAATCACCATTGATTAAAGAAATGCAAATCAAAACAACTCTGAGGTACTATATCACACCTATCAGATTGGTCAGCATGATAAAACAGGAAAATGATAAATGTTGGAGAAGATGTTGGAAAATTGGAACACTAATGCATTGTTGGAGGAGTTGTGAAATGATTCAACCATTTTGGAGAGCACTATCAAACTATGCCCAAAGAGCTATAAAAATGTGCATAACCTTTGACACAGCAATCACACTTCCGGTGCTACATCTGAAAGAGATCATACAAAAGGGAAAAGGACCCACATGTACAAAAATATTCATAGCAGCTCTTTTGTGGTAGCAATGAATTGGAAATTAAGAGGATGCCCATCAGTTGGGGAATGGCTGAGAAAGTTGTGGTATATGAATGTAATGGAATACTATTGTGCTGTTAGAAATGATGAACAGGCTGACTTCACAAAAGCCTGGAAAGAATTGTATGATCTGATGCTGAGTGAAGTGAGCAGAACCAAGAGAACATTGTACACAATAACAGCCATGCTGTACGATGACTAATAGTGATAAACGTAACTCCTCCCAGGAATACAAGGATCTAAGACATCTCCAGAGGACTTGCGATGGAAAATGCTATCCACAGCCAAAGAAAGAACTATGGAAATTGAATTGCTATTTTTTTCTCTTCTATTGAGTTTTATTTCCTCTTTCTGATGGTTCCTCCTATAGGTTTTAATTTTTATTTACAACATCATTAATGTGAAAATATGTTTAATAGGAATGTAAATGTATATCAGAGAGCAGATTGTGTGCCGTCTTGGCGAAGGGGCTGTGGAGGAAGGGGGAGAAAAGTTTTAAACTAAAAAGCATATGGAAGTGGTTGTTGATAAATCAAAATAAATTAGTAAAAAATTAAAAATATAAAATCAAAGAAACAGCTAGTAAATTTCAGAGTTAAAGTCAATAAGCATTTGTTAATCATTTACTGTATGACAGGCACTGTGCTAAGTGTTTGGGATACAAAAAAGGCAAATTGAAGGTCCCTGCCCTGTAGAAGCTAACATTCTAAATGGGAGATAAGCAAATCACCATGGGTACACCTGCTACATAGAGTTTCAATGGAAGGAAATCTCAAAGGCAAAGATTTTTTTTCTTTAATTTTTTAATTTATGGAATAAAACAAGTATTTCCATAACAGAGTATAATTTTAAAAAGATGATTGCTCATGATACTGCAAATCCACTATGTATAACACCTAATAAATGGAAAAGCACGTGAAGACCTACAGTGAAGGATTATTCAAACTAGGGTGCCAATTGTGAGGTGCTCCATTCATTATATGATGCAATTGAAGTCGTTGTCCCCTCACAGCTTTCCTAAAAGCATTCTTGACGTCTTTGTTCCTCAGACTATAGACCAGAGGGTTCAACATGGGGATGACCATGGTGTAGAACACTGACACTATTTTGTCTGTGTCCATGGAATGGCTTGAGCTGGGTTGGAAATACATGAACAACATTGTCCCATAGAATATGGACACTGCTGTGAGATGGGAAGCACAGGTAGAGAATGCCTTCTGGCGGCCTTCAGTAGAATGGATCTTCAGGATGGTGATGAAGATTAACAAGTAAGAGGTAAAGATAACAAGAAATAGGAAAAAGGTATTTAATGACCCTAAGATAAAGACTATTAACTCAACAATGTGAGTGTCAGAGCAAGAGAGAACGAGGAGAGGGGGAATATCACAGAAAAAGTGGTGGACTATGTTGGACCTACAGAAGGAAAGGCTAAAGATGTTTCCTATGAGTATGGAGGAGACCAGAAAACCACATATGTATGCACCACTGGCCAGATGTGCACAGACTGTAGATGTCATTGTGGTAGTATAATATAGAGGTTTACAAATAGCAGCATGGCGATCATAAGCCATGGAGGCTAAGAGGAAACTTTCAGTAATAGCAAAGGCCCCAACAAAAAACAACTGTGTAGCACATCCATTATAGGAAATAAACTTATCCCCTGTGAGAAGCCCAGCCATCACCTTAGGGGTAACAGCTGAGGAGTAGCCAAAATCCACCAGAGAGAGGTTACTGAGGAAAAAGTACATGGGAGTGTGGAGGCAGGACTCACTGGAGATCAGAGCTACTATCCCCAGGTTCCCTATCAGGGTGATGAGGTAGATGAGGGTGAATATTATGAAGAGAGGGACCTGAAGCTCTGGAACATCTGTTAATCCTGTAAGGATGAACTCATTCACTTCAGATCTGTTCTGCATGGATGTCATTTGAGAGTGATGCCATTCACCTGCAACAAAGAAAGAAGCATCAGAGAAATCCACTCTGCATGATGAATGACTCCAAGACACAAGACATGGTCAGAAACACATCTTCAGTAGGAGTTAGAAATAGCAATTAGGAGGAAAAGAACATCTAGGTAGTTGTCATAGCAGTTATTCTAGGTCCTAAAAATTGATTCATCCATTTTCTCATAGAAAGAGAGAGTCACTCATATGTTACTGCTCCCTATCTTTAATCTACTACACATTTAACCATAACCAATATGACATTGCATGCTGCAGGAAAGGGAAATGCCTTATTCTCTGGCAACAATCATATAAGAGGAGGGATTACTGTTGGCCACAGTTGGAAAACTAGATATTTACTTATGCATATGTTTCACTCTGATAAAGAAGAGAGGAAAGAAGAATAAAGAAGAAGAAGGTAGAATAAAATAAGAGAAAAGTTAAAAAACTATGAGAAAGGAGGAGAGGATCACAGAAAGTTGGCGAAGAATTCATTGGGATTGTGCTTACTCCTGTAACCATTGCGGCTTCAAGGTTTATACTGAAGTCACTAGTTCCTGAGCAGGAAGAATTGCCAATGGACACTAGTTACATAATTATGACTATCATCTGTCCAAAAGACCACTGGTGGCTCACTTAACAATAAACGGATGACTCTAAATTTGTTTTCTTCCCACAGCCTGTTCTTTTTTCAATTCTCCACCATTGCCACTGTGGAAATAGAAGGTGGCCACAAACAGGGATATTTGTTTTTTCATTCACTACATTGTTTTTAGATCCCACAGACTTCACCAATTTTGGGGTTAGCCTGCTTCAAGTTTGAGCTAAAATCTCAACTCACAGGAAGGAATTATGCCTCACAGGCAAGATGAAAACAAATCTGGCTGCCAAGGTACAATTTAGACTTCAGGGATGGGACTGATAACTTGAATATGGTTCTGGAAAGGTTTATCTCTCACTTGAATGAAATAGTAAAAGTTACAACAGTCTATTATAATATTTTTAAAACCAAGAAAATATACTCATGTAAAGAAATGCAGGAACCATAGTGGGAAAACATGGTGAAAAGCATTTATATTGTTATCAGTATATTACTAATGAGAGTTTCCAATTTTGTGGACATCTGTCAGAATGTTCTCTCTTATTCTGTCTCTCTGTCTCTCAATGCCTTTATCCGTCTCTATCTCTGTATGTCTGCATCTCTACATATTTACCTGTCTTTTCCTGACTCTTTTTTCTCTTTTTTCTTTGTCTGTCTGCTTTTCCCTGCATGTCTCTTTCTATCTGCATATCAAGCTAGCTATCTGTCTATCTCTGTCCCTCTTCTTAAAGAAAAGCTATTGATTTCTTGATAAAAACAATACTTAATGCATCAAAGGTATGAAATGAAGGAACAAATATGGGAAAATTCTATCCTGCATTTGATTCTCACAAATTATGAGGAATTATTAGGCAGAATTAAAATAAATGGGAATGTTACTAGAATAGGGGAAAAGTAATTACACCATCCTAAAGTTGAAGATCAATAAAAGAAGGAAAACTAGCAATTGTCAGACATACATATTAGGCTTAGAAAGAGTCAATTCAAGGTAATTTAGAGGAAGTATAAAGGATAATTCTGTAGGGAAACTTGAAAGGAAAGAAAGGTCTCAAGAATAAAATTTGGAAGACAGAGGAAGAAAAATTGACAATTAGGCAGACTCAGATGTGAAAAATAAGCTTGCAGAAAAGACAAAAAAAGGAGACATAATCAAGGATAAATGCAACAGCAGATCTTATCTTGTAGTAATAGAGTTGAAGGAGTGTCTGCATGCAGCTTGAACTGAGGGAAGCCTGGAAAGCTAAAGACTGTAAAAGCTGTGTATTTTTAATGCAAAATTGACTATTTGGGGAAACAAAGAGTAATCAAATAAAGAACCTGACTGATTTTCATGGTTGATGAGACAAGTACAATGAATGCCAAGCACAGGTAGTGCTGCTCCATTTGTATTTTGCTTTTATTTTCTCTGACAAAGAGAATGATCTTTGTTTTGAGAAGAACAGAAAAACTAGTTGTTGATACCAAAGTTAATAAGAACTAGCACATATATTATTGGAGAGAAGGGAAAAACCACTTATATAGCATCTATTATATGCCAAGCACTGTGCTATACTTCATAATATTCTTATTTGATTCTCACAATAACCCTGTGAAGTACGTTCTGTTATTACTTCCATTTTAAAGTTGAGGAAAGAAGGGTAAATGTGGTTGAATGACTTGACCAGGGTCATACCTTACATAGCTATGACCAGATTGGAAATCAGATTTTTCTGACTCCGGTCCCAGTGCACTATCCATTTTACCAGATTTGCCCGTCTATACTATACAAAGTACTTTGAATAGATTGGATCATTTAATCCCCACAGCAGCCTTGTGATATACATGGCTAACAAGAAAACCAATTTGACCATACACTGAGTGGAGGGGCACTGTACCTAGGTATACTGAGGTGGTCTTCTCTAGTCTACATAGGAGTAACATGTTCAGTTGTGGGTTCCATAATTTAGGAAGAAAATCAATAGGCTAGAGATTCTCCAGAGGAGCTCAACCAGCATGGAGGACTTTAAAATGTTCCCATATTGGGATTGGTGCAAGGAACTGACAGCATTCATTGTAGAACAGATATAAGATGGGTGTCAGGGCAGTGGTCGTGATTAGACATCTTTAGGTATCTGCAAGATTGACATATTGAAGAAGAATTTGGTTCATTTTATTTATACCCAAAGATAATACCCAGGAGAAAAGTTGAGAAGGTAAGAAGCAACAAACTTTGGTTTAAAGTAAGGAAAAGATTCCAAAAATTTTGCTCTCCAGAAGTGGAAGGGGCTGTCTTCATATGTACTGGATTTCCTCTCCCTTAAAGTCTTGAGGGAAGGGCTAATTGAACTCTTCTTCATTTTATGTAAAAATGTGTCTCCTAGATCACAGTGACCATGGAGAAGCCACTTCACCTCAGAGACTCAATTCACTCATAAGTCAAAAAAGGATAAAACAATGGTATCGATACCACAGGGCTGTTCTGAGAATAGAAGGAGATAATTCTGTAAAGTGCTTTGAAAACCATAAAACTAGATAAAAGAGTCATCTACTATTATTTTAATTAACATTACTGCTATTATCTGTTTTATCTTTCACTAATCCCTTAATGTCTTTTTCACCTAGGATATCACAGGCCTCAGTGTGCTCATTGATAAAGGAAATATATTAGACTAGATATCACTGAGATCCTTCCAATCTATCTCTGCATCAATGATTCTATGACATTTTTAACCTGTATTAATTTTAAAGATATCCATTAGTCATCATATCACCACTGTGAAAGGATTTGTTTTCTTATATGGTTAATATGAAACTGGGAGGTAAGGATAAAGTAAATAAATAAAACGTTATCTCACAGACTTTTAGAGGAATAGAAAAATCTCAACTTTTACAATTAACAACAATGAAGGATTTTCCTTTCACATAATAAGAGCTATGTTAAGTAGAAAATAAACAACCAACTTAGCCTCACAATTTATAGTATCATTTGTCTCATACATGACATCTGTGCCATTTTTGTCATTGATAATATTGAATCAAATATGCATAAACATAACGTATGATTCCTTTTCACAGATGTATTCATGGTTGGGTCCTCTTGAATTCCACATCTACAGAGAACCCTTCTTGGTTATCAGGGCTGACAAACTGATATGTTTTCTATTCTGAAATGCCCAGGTGCTGGTGAACAGCACTCTCTTGGAAAGATAATTGATTAGGAGTCTGAAGACTTGGGTTCTAGTATTGCTTGGGCATTCACTAATTTCTTCTGTGATTTCATGGAAGTTAATCAATCCTTTCACACCTCTGTCTGCTCATTTGGAAAATGGGAATAATATCTTTTAGGGTATAGAGTTCACACAATGTTTGTAAGGAAACGGTCAAGAATTAAATGCTATACACATGAGACTTACCTTGATCAGTACAAGATAATGGGCTTTTATATGATAATGGATGAGTAGGTGCTCCAAGAAACACAAACACAGAGAAAAGAGGATAGAGGTGATACTACAATACAAAATACGACTGTGGCAATGTGCTGTAGTAGGAAGAGCTTTAATCTTTGAGTTAAGAGGATATGAATTTAATTCCCACCTCATACATTTATTAATTGTATAAGTCAGGACCAATCACTTAAGTCAATCAACTCCAGGTTATTTATCTATAAAAGGCTGAAGGACTTAATAATGATGGTATTTATTTCAAACAGCTGTTGAGAGATTCAAATGAGAAAATTGAAGTTCTTTACAAATGTTACATAAATATGAACTATTGTCATTTAGGGCAAGGACTCTTTCTCACCTCAATTCTCTTATCAAACCACTCCCTAAAGTTTTTACTGCAGTGTCTTGCATGCAGTATGCCCTTAACATTATTAATATTAATTAGTTAACATTAATGAATAACATAATAGATCATCATTTTTAAATTAGGTGTTTCTTTGGACTACACATTCACCCATCCCTCAAATGGCTCCTTCAGTTACTGAAGGATGATGAACTTGAAGAGCTGCAAGTAGTGGATAATAACAGGTATTTATAGAGCCCTTGGATGTTTGAACAAAACTTGCCCACATGATCTAATTTGAGCCCTAAGTCAGCCCTATGAAATAAGCACCACAGGTATAATTACTCACAGTTTATGGTTTAGGAAAGCAAAGTGAAGTGTCTTACCCATGGGGAAAGTGAGTCACCATCTGAGATTCTGAAGATTTTTATACACAAATCTTCCTGCCTCCATATCCAGCAATGCTTCCACTATACAATTTTGGTGTCTATACTGCACTGTAGTATTGGGATTAGATATCCTAGAGCCTAGCTGCCTTGATTGTGGAGAAAGGTGGCCTACACTTCAAAAAGGAGAGTGAGTCATGGACCTTGTATTCAAAGTTTGGCCTTAAAGT